GAGTCAATGAGCTTTAATAAACTTTATCTGCTTCTAGTCCAATCCTTCAGTTTCTATCTGAGGACCTGGGCTCTCACCTGGCCGCTGCCAGATAACGCTTCCACCCTGGAGAAGTCAAACCCAGCCCTCTTCATCTTGTCCAGCAGCAGGTCCAGAGCCTGGTGACGGACAGGTCAGACAGCCAATCAGGAGACAGAACACTGACTAGTGCAGTTAAACCATCTGGCGGCGTCTCACCTGGACCCACATGAGCACCGGTGAGGTGACGGTCAGTTTGTCAGCATGGATATGAACTCCACCCTGAGTCCTGAACAAAATCACATTTCAAAATAAAAGCCAGGCTCTTTCAGAATAAAACCTGCCTGGTGTTACCTGTAGTGGGGCAGCTCAGAGTCGAACTGGACGGCGTCCTGATGGACCACGCTGAGGTCGCCATCGATGGCGACAACCTTCAGCTGCAGAACCAACAGAGCAACAGATCAATCAGATGTGACGCTAACTGTTCCCTCCCCTCATTCATGGCGACTAGTTCCCCACAGTGAACATGTCACCACCTACTGGTGGAGTGCAGAACTACAGTTAGAACTATTTAAGCTCCTTTGAAATAGTTCATGATTGGTCTGTATAATTAAATCGTTTGGAAGTTTTTTTTGTGTAAAATGTCTTAGAAGCAAAAAATCCTTTAAGGTTGACAGTTTTTCTGCTATTTTATAGAAATAAGCTCAAGCAGACAGTGGAGGTTTGTGCAAATAATGAGCAAAATGAAAGGTTTTAGTCATTTTATTCAAAAATCGTAGTTTTTCCAGTTTTTGGTTTAAATCTGGTTGGAAGTTATGTGTTCAACCAATCTTTTGGTTAAAGAGAAACTCTGTTTTTTTTTTTTGTTTAGTGTCATTTGGAGCCGTTAGATATTCCGTTAGGTTATATCCAGTAACGTTAGATTCTGATGCCAAAAGCGATAAATCATGCATCCCTAGAATTATGATTTCAGGTAATTAAAGTTGTTTCCCCTTTAAATCTGCAGCTCTCCCTGCTTCTCTCTGTTTAAAAAGATTTATGAACCTCTTTACTAATATAATGATGCTAGAAAGTAAATTTCTAGATCTGTAGAAGCTCTGCAGGCTGATTCTGTCTGTTCAATAAGAAAACATGTTAATTTTAACCTGGAACTGGGAGTCATGCTCCTCTGAGACACTTTAACTAGTAAAGAAGAACAAACTATGTTTTCTTAAGATTCTTGCGTTATATTATTAACTTGTATAAACTTATAACCTGTAGCAGTTTTTAGCTGATAAAGCTCCATATTTCTAATGAACAGATGATTTTTCGGTGGCATCTCTAATGTTTCCTTAAACATGGAAGCAGCTGCTGGTTAATATTCACTGAGTGCTGCTGTAGCGACTTTATATGCAGTAAAATGCGACCACCAATCAGATGTCTCAGAGCCACAGATCTGATGATGTCACACTGAGAGGCAGGACAATGGAGAGAGGAAGAAAAAACATGGACCGAAAACACTCTGAACATACTAGCTGCACCCGACCTCTGCCCCCCGCTGCCTCCCTGCCTACGGGGGTTCCTGGTCCCGGAGCTGACCCTCAAGTTCCGGGCAAAAGAGGACGTCTGGTCACCCTACCCGGGGCCCCACATTTCCTAAATCCGCCCCTTCACCAAGCAGACTGAGGGTCAGAGTCCGGCTCAGGTGTTCATTAACCTGCTATGGGTTAAAGTCCACCTCCCCCTGTGGGGGGGGGGGGGGGGGGTCTGGTGGAACCTTCCAGACCTCCGGCTCCCTTTAGAACCAGAACCTGAAGGTTCCCAGCAGAACGGAACCTGATCAACTGGGAACCAGTGAGGCTGGACTCAACCAAACCAGTCTGCTGATAATATCCATCCGCGCATGCGCAGTTGCACCGACATTCCGCCGCGCGGCGCGCGGTCCTGACTCCACACAGACACAGGGAACCGGAACCGGAACCGGAAGCGGATCAGGTGAGGTTCTGCTTTACCTGCTGGGTGCTGAAGTCCAGGCCCAGGTAGAGAGGAAAGAGAGGAGCAGCCATGAGGAGGAAGAGGCGCGAGGCGCACTGAGCGCGAGGGGCGGAGCGGCACACATTAAAGAGACACACACAGGCTGTGTTCGAATTCATTGGCTGCGGAGGGACGCTCTGTTGCTTAGCAACCGAGAGAGTCGTAAACACAAAGCAGGAAAAGAATGAATTCTAAACTTGTCAAAACTGTTTCCTTTTTATTTTATATTATTTTTTATTGTAAATTGAACAAAGACTGATGAGAATCCAGAGTGGAATAAAGGTTCCAACCTCTGGGATGAACAGATCTACCCAAGCAAGGCCCCGGGGCCTGCTGACACACCTGGGCAGGTAGTTTCTCCCACGGCTGAATGCCTGTTGGAGTCCCTGTTGAGTCGCTCTTTGTCTGCCTCAGAGGAACCAGCAGCGGTCTATCTTCTATTCCTTTTCTTCCTCCCCATGAATAGAACCAGCTTCCTTCTACCTCATTCATTTCTATGCTCTGATCTACCGGTTGTGTCTCTAGTTTTATTCCTTTCGCTGAGCAGGAAGCAATAAAAGCAGCTTCCAGTATCATCATCTCTACACCGTTTGATGTCGTCAGGCTGTCTGGTAGAGAATCTGCATCTCATTTCTTTAGAAACGGCCCAACGATGAGCCTGAACCTGATCAGGGATCGGCTGGGTGACCGCAGCCTGCTGCTTTACTGCACACAGGTGTGACTGAGTGGGCGGGGCCTAGACTTCCTGCAGGGAGCCGGAACCAGGAGGAGGGAGAGGAGGAAGATGGATGTGTCAGCGCTCACACAGCAGTACAGGATCTGCAGAGAAAAACAGAGGACGGAACTTCAACTGGTCGGGACAGGAAAGAGGAC